TTTTTTTTTTTTAGTTTTATTTATTTCAAACAGGCCGGATCCGGCCCGTGGGCCATAGTTTGCCCACGGCTGACCTAAGCCATCAGTAGGACATACCCTGAGGGCTCTCGGACTACAAGAGGGAGCAGGCTGGGCTGAGGGACCCCATTCCCCACTGCATGAATTTCATGCACTGGGCTTCTAGTATATCAGATAAACCCTGAACACGTCCACTATTTTAACAGAGCTTCCCAGAGTAAATCAGATCTATCACTCCTGTAAAAACTGATGTAGTAAACTAGCCTAATGAAGACACTGGAGGTCTTAAGTGCCACAGAATGCATTCAAAATGGTAGCATGAACAACATCCACATTAATCTGAAGAGCACAGCTCTATGTTACTAGTGATGATCAAGTAACCCAAGCAACTGACACACTACAGGTCATGCAATCATCAGTTTGGTCTAAGCATTAAGGTTTTTAAATTTCTTCAAATTCAAGATTCTGATTTATTTTTAAGTGTGAAAAGAGTAACAAGACCAAAAAAAAGTCAGATACAGAATGGTGGTTATCAGAGGGGAAAGAGGATGAGGGCAACATGAAGTGGGTAAGGGTTCAAATATACTAGGTATGATAACAAAAGGAAACTAGACTTTGGGTGGCGAGCACACAACAGAGTCCACGGATGTTAAACTATAATATTTTACAGCTGGAAATTATATAATGTTATTAACCAATGTTACCCCAATAAATGTAGTTAAAAATAGCTAGAAACAAACATTAGAATAAGTTAAATGAAGCATTTCTCTTCTTGGGAATGTTCTAGTATAAGAGCAATAATTTATTTAATAAACATTTTATGAAGGACTGGGCATTGAACCTTAGTAAAGGGTAGGAAAACACTGAGGCAATAGCAAGCAAGAAGTCTGCAGAACTGGAAAACCAGCAACAGAAAGAAAACAGATAAAGACACAAAGAAAATAGAGACTGAAGACATATAGAGAAAATAAGGATAACTGGTATCCAGATATACAACCCAATTCAGAGCCCCTTCCATGGGGAAACTATGGGCAAAGGATATTTTTAAAATATTATTTTCCACCCACAATGTGGTCCTGTGACTAATATTCAAGGTGTACAGACTCCCTAATCCAGAGAACCTCTTTAGCAGAGTGCTGATCCAATTGCAGGCGTTGGTGTCAATTGAAACTAATGGTGACTCTATTTTTTTTTATTTATTGTTACCTTGAGCGAATTATGTAAACTCTTCTAAGACCCATCTCATCCAGACTATGGAGATGATAATAATACCAGCATCATATAATTAAAAAATAATGCATAAATTAATACAGATATAGTGCTAGGAAGAGAACTGAACACTTAGCACATTAGTACATGTGCCCTGAGAGTGACACATTACTATGAAGAAGGTTATTGGAAACGAAATGTAAGAAATGGAAATAAAGAAGAACCCAGCATCACTTGTCTTGGTTCTTGAGTGAGAAAGAATTTTCCAAATACCACCCAGACCTTCTTGACCCCTAAGAAGTGTGACTGGAACCTTCTTTGAATTATAATGTTAAAGTCAGCAGCTTCTTCCAAAGACTGCATGGCCCTCCCAAGGAGACTGTTATATTTCCAAATGAAGCCCCGTGCACTCTGCTTAGTGTCAACAAAAACTAGGCTACCTTATAAGCTTGCAACTCCCGGAAAAGCCAGAAACTGAAATCTAAGGCCTGTAGTATATTTCTCCCAGAAGTAACAAGATTAAACTCCTTAACAATGCTTAGCAAAGAGCTTAATGAGAGAAAAGTGAACATTTGTAC